TGGACAAATGCCTACAGTGATCCCTTATGGGGGGTAGGGAAGAACTGCCCTCCCGAAAGGGGTTCTTGTGCCTGTCACAACTGCACACGACAGGCAAAAATTCAAAAGGTCTAACACAACAAAGTGCCTGTTGAATCTCTGCGGGTCATGTTATCTCTGAAAGGCATGGAGCTACTTGTCAGGGTTAAAGGTGTTTTCTAGGACCGCACCATGCAGAGGAACGAACAGTGCTCTAGAATGGCTGCCTTTCAAGCCTATATAAAATAGCGTTGCCCTAACGTCTAGTTCGGATCTGGCTAAAGTGGCCGTTCCAGTGGATTCCTGTTTTAATTTCCCTGGAGCAGTCCCATGAGCAGAGCTGTAACACGGAAAAAACAAGCGGGACGCACAAAGCGGGGGGGGGGGCACAGAAAAAGTATATCAAGTCTACAATAAACGTTGTGTTATTATTATTACTGTTGTTATTAATGTATTGACTTTTTACCGAAATAACTGCTATGAAAGTATAGGGGGCGCAATTTTATATTCTTGTCTCCGGCGCAAAATTAGCTCGTTATGGCTCTGGCCATGAGTCTGTTGCAACCAAACGAGACGCTCCCAGTCTGCGGTGGCCTTCTCTGCCTGCTGCTCTCAGGAAAGGTGGACCCCACATGCCCCGCCTGCCGATCCTACCTCGGAAGGGGATCTTATCGTAGAGGCGCACGTTCTCCTCTAAACGGATATAATCCACCTCTCCTTGCGAGGTGAAGGGGGTGGTCAGGGGCGGGTAGATACCCCGCAGGTCCAGCCGCCGACTGGGCGCTGCTCCACCAGCGACAGCGCCGAATTTCCGAGGAGCGCTCCTCATCTGAGGCCCAGCGGGGCGCCAGCAAAGGCTTCTAGGCCAGAGGGAGGGCAGGATCCGCGAGGCTCGCATAGTCTTCTTGACCCTGGCGCAGCAGCGACTGCCAGTGCTGCACTCTGGAAAAACCGAACCCCTGATCCCACAGCCCGGCTTGAAGGCGGGGAGAATGTACTAAGACCGTCCTCAAGGGGCGGGGCGCCAGCGTGAAAATCCCTTTATGTTGCAAAAAGGCGAGGGGCAAGTCTTGTCCAGTGTGTGATTTAGCTTCCTTCCAGCTGTAACCTACAGGGAGGGAGCGGGACAGAGAAGATCCCCGCCCACTAGCAACCCGGTCATGGGCCTCCTTGCTTAAAAGCATGCCCACTGTGTACTCTCCAATAGGTATGTGGTGGATTCCAGCCTTAAGGATTGCCCCCTGTTTTTTTCTTGTCTTCTTCAAGCTCGAAAAAAGCCGGAAAAAAATAAAGGGGTGTCATAGTTTGCTGTGCCTGCACCTTCCTAGCAGCAAAAGTCTGTGGTTCATTCACCATCCAAAAGGGCCAGGTAGATAGATGATGTGAAAGACTTCTCCCTGAGCTAGTGAAGAGCTGCCGCCAGGGACAGGCAGAGGAAACAACACCCATTCAGTACTGGTCTGGTTCAGGTGAATATTACAGAGCGCTTCAAGGGATTAGCTCAGAAGGTATAAGTAAAAGGAGCCCAATATGAGCGCAGTGCCAGATGGGCCATGCATAGAATGAAAGGACAGGATACCAACCAGACCAGTCAGATGATAAATTACAACCAGGTATACCTGGCTGCACAGAGACAAGGTGCTCTTTGCTGTGGAATATCTGGAACACACCTGGAGTCTTGGCTTTTACAACCCTAACTCAATATACTGCAAGTAGTTTGATATTATAGGATCTTGTAGGCTAGTTTGTTATCATGCAGTTGAGACACGTGAGCATTATCCATCACTCAGTCCACAAGAGGGGCAATGACTCTGTGGCAGACAATCTGGTTTTCAAACAAAAGGTCCCAGGTTCAATCCCTGGTCTCTCCAGGTTAAAGGACTGGGTAGAAGGTAATGGGAAAGACCTTCACCTGAGATCATGGAAAACTGCTGCCAGTCAGACTAAACATCACTGACCTTAATTGACCAGAAGTCTGATTTAGTGTAAGGCAGCTTCATGTGTTCAGCTCAGTTTTATTCCATGGATACAAGACTGGAACCTGTCTACTTGGCAGGGTGCCTCTGCTATATACAGCTGTATGACAAACAGAACATTCACATGCGTGGCTGGTGATAATATGGTGACTGGGAGTTTTCCAACTATTGCATTTCTGATTCTCACGTAGTGGATGAACTCTCATTAGATTTTACTTTCTTTTCTATTTTTTTAATTGGGTGGTAATGACAGCCTCTTGGGAGTCCAATGTTATCCTGGCTTGAGTCCCACCTGGCTCCCCTCCCCCCATCTGCCTCATGCTGGCATCTCTGTTGTGTCTGGCTCTTGCTGCTCCAACACTTCCCGCGTATCTTTCTGCCATAGCTGCACAAGGTCTGTAGGAGTCTTCCCAGCCTGTGGCAGGAAACAGAGGTGAGAAAGGTAAGCATCTTTGTATCATGCAACTGCTGCATCATAATCTAGGTATAGCTGGCAGCTGAACTGCCAAGATAATAGGCTTTAACCTATGAGCTGATCTGAAGGCCCCCCCCCCACTAAAGTATTAAAATTTTAGAAGAAGAAGAGATTGGATTTATACCCTGTCCTTGACTACCCGAAGGAGCCTCCGAGTGGCTTACAATTTCCTTTCTCTTCCCCTCCCCACAACAGACGCCCTGTGAGGTAGGTGGGGCTGAGAGAGCTCTGACTGAGAACTGCTTGTGAGATAACAGCTCTGAAAGAACTTGTAACTGACCCAAGGTCACACCAGCAGCTGCATGTGGTGGAGTGGGGACTCAAACCCAGTTCTCCCAGATTAGAGTCCGAGCTCCTAACCACTACTCCAAACTGGCGCTCTTCGCCATGGTTGGGTCATATCCCTTGGTTGGGTCATAACAGGGCAACCCTCACCAGGTTTTTGGCCATCATGTCCGCCCCGTGCAGAATCAGCAACTTAATGATCTTGTAGCGATTGAGACGAACAGCATCATGCAGGGCACTGTCTCCCTCCTGCAACAGATGTGGCAGCATCACATTGTGGAAGATTAGGAGAGACAGAAATCAGGCACTGGAACTAAGATCATAATATTGACATAAGAATAAGGGAAGCTCTAGCAGCCAGAGAAGAGCCCTCCAGTTCAGACCTCTCAAGTGCTTTGCAAATAGAGTCTGGATATACTGAATATAACTTCGGAGGCAGAGACCAGCCAACTTGCTAGAGAGAGAAAACATTACCAAATATCCTCAAAGGTTTCAGTCAGGCTAGCTGAACAGAATCTTTCTGCCTGAGTAGGAAGGGCTGCAGTTTCACTGTTGTTCCAGAACTGGCTTCAAGAACTGGAGGATCCAAGTGGAGGACTTTTCACTCAGTGCTGCATCCCTAACTGCCTGGAAATTACTAGAGAGGTATGGAAGGAGCTGGGTTATGAAATAACTCAACCCCTCCCTGAAAAGAGGAGGAGGGTCAAGCACATTAGGACTAATACTCAGGAACTGAATTTAGTAAGGCTTGATAAGGTTTCTTTCCATTCTAAATTACTACCAGTGTCAAGTTTAGTTTTCCCTTCATTTTATCCCTTTTAGCTAATTTTGGGGACAGGGTCTCTTCTACTGGTGCACCATTGCTGTTACACAGCTTAAGTAATTGATTGGAGTGAGGTGAGCTATAGACATTGCAGTAAATAGACATACACATATTTCTTCAAGGCTGTTATCTTACTCGATCACGGGAGTTGATGTCCATCCCACTATTAATCAGATGTTCCACAATCTCGGTCACACCAGTGCGGGTGGCCACATGCAGAGGAGTGCTGAGAAGCTGAGTTTGAACAAATATAGAAAGATGGATGCAGGAAGGAAGAAACATTGTTTTATATTAATGCAATCCTTCCCATCAGTGTGCCCTGTATTCCAGTTACTCTAATGTAATGCAACCACAACTTCCCTTCTATAATCCTCTTTGCCCCAGTGCTTTCACACAAAGTTCACCCACATCCCTCCAACAGCTGACCTCCATTTTTACCACAATGCTCTTCTCCCCCCCCCCCCATAATTCTCAAAAAGCAGTTCCTGGAATCCCCACTTCTTCACTCACTTTGTCCTTGACATTAAAATTGGCTCCTTTCTCTTGCAAGAGTTTCACCACATCAAGATGTCCACCACGGCAGGCCCAATGCATAGCAGTGGCATCCAGCTGTCAGCAAAAAAGAACACATCTGTCAGCAGAGGAGAGCCACTCCACCTTGCACCTATACTCATTTGCATCCACCCTTGGAGTTTTCTTTTGTACTTCCATGGACCTGCACTTTCCAGCTGCACATGAACTAGTAGAAAGTTTCAAAGCCAATTTTTGATCCTTAGACAGTCCAATGAATATTTCCTTTAGACAAGGGACCGACAATGATAGAGAACAGAAGAAAGGCATTGCTGAAACTGCAGAATGGTTGAAACAAAAGCAAGCATGGATGTGGAAGGATGTGAAAAAGGGTATCTTACTCGATCTCTGAAGTCAGCAGTGGCACCATAGGCCAAAAGCTTCTCCACTATTTCTGTGTATCCCTCAAGTGAGGCACGATGTAAAGCTGTCCTGCGGAACTAGGTGGACGAGAGAAAGGAAGTCTTCAGTAAAGGATACAGTAAAAGAAAGAAGGTCCTGTACCAATTATCTATAGCCCAAGGTCTCCTGGTATTTTTCTTTAAAGCTTTATTTGCTCCAGACATCTCCCCACTGCCCACCACCACATCACCAGCCCAGCACTTATTAAACGTTTCCATACATTGCTGAAAGGAAGTTTATGGAACTTCTTTCATGTTCACCATATATACAGAACTGGGCTTTTGTTCTTGCAGACTTCACAAGGTTGTACCCATTGATGTTTCCCAGTTATCCACTTCTTGTACTAAATGGGCATATAAGAATTCAGAGATTAAAGACCAGAGGTGTTTCAAGAAGCTATTCACCTGGCCCCTGTATTGGTGCTCTTTGAGACAACTTATCTAAGTACTTAATGTGCCTTCATATTAAATTGAAGACTTATTTCTTAGATTAAAAAATAGATCGTGTCCAGGCAATACCCTTCTCCCAAAAAAAGTCTGTAATTGATTTGTTCAGAGAGAGGCCATAGCTTAGTGATAGAGCACATGCTTTGTTTGCAGAAGGTCCCAGATTCAACCCACAGTATCTCCAGTTAAAAGTCTCAGATCACAGATGTTAGGAAAGATGTTCTGGTGCCTGAGACCTTGAAGAAACAATGCTGTGTGCTTGATGGGCCAGTGGTCTGACTCATTATAAGACAGTTCCACATCGTCATACTTACAAAAAACTGAACTGATCATGTATCAGGCTTATACACTTAGGAGTCAGACTCTGAGTATTTTCAGTTTCCCTTACTGTCTTGCCCCAAACTCTACACTCTTCTCCAGCTTGGACACCATCCTAGGTGCAGAGATTACTACCACACTGTGGATAGGTCCCACATTCTAATTCGTAGCTCTAAAGAAAACAGTAATGAATAAAAAACACAGGGAAGATAGTGGAGAATGGTATTCCCTGAGTGTTGTGATACCTCATCACTGGTATCTGGAGAGCTCCCATCTGCCAGGAACTTCTCCACCACATGCACCTTGCCTTGTACAGCAGCTTTCAGGAAATCCTCTTCTGTCACAGGACCTGTCTGCAGGGAAGGATTGATGGTTCAGTGGGTGTTGCAAAAGCTCAGAAAGCATAGCAAGTTTTCAAAAAATGTAAGAGGAAAGCCCTCTCAAACCCTGAGAAAGGACATTACTATTCCCAATCCCTACTAACAGTTCCAAGCACTTACGGCAGACATTGCCTGTCATAGGGGTTACGCGCATCTAGAGGCCTCCATTTTTGGAGAAGAATCTGGTTTCTTGCTGCCTTGCTTCTGCTTCCTAAAATCTGCTTGTGGATAAATTCTGGGATCTCACTACTGCTTCCCTAGAGCTCCCTTCTCCCATGACCCTGACAATGGAATTTCCCTTACAATTTCCTCTGGCTCAGGCTCTGGTTTCTTCTCTTCCTTCTTCTTTCTGGGTTTCTTGCGTAGCTCAAAGAGGTACTGAGTGCCACCAACTTCAATGATCTCTCGCCTTAGGTCCACAGAGCTCTTTCGCACCCTCTCCTGGCCCTGTAGAGGACAGAGGGATGGAGGGAGAGGGAGTGGGAAAGAAAGATTTGTGAAGAATGCTCTGGCTTATTACTGGATTCTTTTCTCCTCACCCTGTAACTGCAAACCCCTCTTTGTTTTGCTTTCCAATTGCAGCCAAGGACATACTGATCAAAGGGCTTATTTTTGTCTTTGTTTACTTTCTACAATGTGTTCTACTTATCACAATGCCAAATTTAATAACATATTGTCCTGCTGACTAGATTATTTTCTTTCATCCATGGAGATACCACCTTCATCTCCATACCTGTTTGAACAGCTCTAAGGGAAAGGGTCATGCAATTGGACAGGACCTTGGAAATAATCTTATCTAATTCCTGCTCAAGGCAGGAATACACAGCTACAGCAACTGCAACAGATGGCCATCCATCCTTTGTTAAAAAACCTCCAGTGAAAGAGCCTCCACCTCTTCCTGAGGCTATCTGCTCTATTGTTCTTCTATTAGAAAGTTTGTTCTAAGGTTTACCCCAATCTACATCCTTGTAATTTCCACCAGTCAGTTCTAGTCCTACCCCTTGGAGCAAGAAGACCAAATCTGCTCCATCCTCTACATACCAGTCCTTTAGATATTTGAAGGCAGTGATAGTTTTCTCCAGGCTAAACATGCTCAGCACTTTCAACTTTTCCTCACAGGGCTTGGTTTCCAGACCCCTCATTCATCCTGGTTACCCTCCCCTGGATGTAGTCTAGTTTGTTAACATACTTTTTAAAATGTGGTAACCAGAAGTGGACACAGCAGATGAGGCCTGATCAGTGCAGAACAGAATTAAAAATGCCCAGTGTATCTGGTGTTACCACTGCTATTCTCTTTCTTAACTGCCAACACAAGAGTATGATACTAAAGCAGTGGAGAAGGTCAGTTGTTGGCTGCTTATTCAGCTTGTGTAGCTGTCCCTTAATGTACAGTTGTGTTAGTATCAAGAACATCATATCTCACCAAGTATAAATTGTTGAGAAACATGGTACAGTCAGAGCTGAACTTTGGGATGGAAGTCCAGGGCTTCAAGACATGGGCTCAGAAGGGGGTGGGGCAGGTTGCAGCTTTGCATTTTAAATCTATACCATCATCTCAAGGGAAGAGAGTGTAAAACCATTGAGTCCACAGACCAAAATTACCTAACTGCATCACTGGCTAACATCCACAAACTTACATCGGGGAGGGAGCCATTAATCAAGATTACCAAAGAAGACATAGCACAAAGAGGAATACAAAGGAACTGTTGTTGAGGACAGTGAGGAGAACAGTGCACCAAGAGGGAGTAAAGGCACTGTTTGGAGTTCAAACAGTTGGTCAGCTCTGCTGGAAAAAATGGTAACATTGTGGACCTTAAGTACTATGTTCTGGAGCAGAAACTTAGGAACCGAACATCAAATACAAGCTTATATTAGTATAACGAATTGATGCCATCTTCCATTCCCCAGTCCTTTCCCTTACAGAATGAACTGTCAGAATTGGTGCTGTATGTTTCTGAGAGCAACTGGCCTGAAGAAAATTAGCCAACTTTGGGCAAACAACCTTTGAAGCTAGGAGACCCCTATCTTAGGATCAAGTAAGAGGGATGGATCCTAACGGGAACAAAATGACAGGGCTGGGGGATGTGGTTGTAGAAACTTAGGTGCACGTGATAAAAATGAAAGAGAAGACTTGCTGTTTGGAACATCAAGCCAGTATCAAAGAGCAGTGACATGTTTTACAATCCTGGGCAGGGGGGGGGGCATATATTTCAAATTCATTGCCTTGCCTTTCTAAGATGGCATAGCTGATGTACACACACACAAAGAGAGTGTGAGTGTAATGGAAGGCAGAAGCCAGCCAGCCCACTATTTGCCTATAGAATTTTGTTTCCATCAATGTCTTATGGGATATTACAAGGGTTATTAGCACAAGAGAATTTGTAACACCATTCAGCCATGTGAAGAAAACACAAAACATATATGCTGAATACTTGTGCCCAGTGGATTAAGTTCTGGATGCTACTTCTAGTGGAATGAGTTCACAAATAAAGATCATTGCATGCAATTGAATAAGCTTTGAAAACCATGCTGAAGGCCCCAACCCCTCTAACCTTGAGCCCCTCAACACCTTTGTTGATAGGTCCATGCCTCTTTTCATCTTCCAGCTGTGGAGAGTCCATCCGTGCCATTTCTGGCTGCTTTGCAGGGGGGTGGGAGCGGTGTTTCTGGGTGAAACATACAGAAGATGAGAAAATGCTGAAGTCTTGAGCACTTACCTTTTTTCTTCTTGGCATCTGCTCTGGACTTTGCTGCCTGAAGCAGTTATTTGCCCACTACTTCATACTATGGCTGCCCCTTCCATCCTTGTCAAGGATACTATGCACCCACTCCTGGAGTCCTAGTGTAAGCTGGTCTAGCCTCTGGGCTCCCAGCAAGCTAGCCCCATGTGTCCCCTAGAAACCGACCTCCTGCTCTTCCTCAAGCGCCAGCTTCTGTTCGATCAGTTCTGTGGCCCACTTCACTCCCTGATCAGCAGCAGCCATCTTTTCTGCATTGTCATGGAGTTGTGAATCCTCTTGACAGCTTTGAAATCCTGGCTCAGCCATCTTCCTAGCCCCTATACAGTATTCACTGGTTCTGACCCAGTCTTGTTGCAGCCACTGCTATAAAGACCTGATGCCTGGTTCTGTCTCAAGTGACATCCCTACTTCCCTCCCCTCACAAGCCTTTGTCATGAGTTCAGCCTGTCACATTCTTTCCTTGTCCAGCTGCCCAGAAGTCACCTTCCTAAAGTGTCCAGTTGCTGCTCAAAGAACCCTATCCCCAAAGGGAGACACATGAAGACCTATTCCCCACATTTGTATGGTGAGTGGGGGGAATGGCAGGGCGGAATGTTGGCTTAGAATCCTGTCAATTCCACATGGACTACTGCCTGCCTCCAGGTTAGAAAGGGGACAAGGATTGTGGCTTCATGCCCAGGTGCTGTCCTGTGAGTCATTACCATTCCTGGTAGATTTGTCTGTTATTCATTCATACATTTGTACATAGACATACCTCACAAACCCATAAGCACACTGATACACCACCTCAGAAGTGAGAGTTCCAATACAGATCTGAAAGTTCAAACGTATGAGCTGTAGCAGCTGAAATAAGAACATCTTTAATGTTCTATTCAGATATGAAAAGAGATAGCCATTATGTGAAAACTGTGAAATCCTGGGGTCATGCGCAATTCTCTCTAGAAGGGGGCATGTGATAATCTTATTCTAAATGTCCTCAATAGCTTTGTTTAAATGTCCCTCTGGTCTCCCAACAAAATTCTCTGCCACTATGAGAAGTGAAATGTTTCTTGTTTGATTTATAGCCTGCTCTGTCCTATGGTCTTAAAATGTCTTACAGCACTTTTCCCAAATACATTGCCATTCCCTAGCTACATTTTACATTTTTAGCCCATTGCTATGTGTACCACGTGCTCCCCTGGAGTCTACTTGCATGGCCACACACTCAAGCAGCTGGGCTCTGCCAGGAAACAGCTTACCAACCTGCCAAGCTGCTAACTTAGGCACAAAGCCTGGAACACTTTGAATAACATTGGGTGAGCTGGGGGCAGGGGAGAGGACAGCACCAGGAGTGCCTGAGCTATTTGTGGTGATGGACACACCGCTCTGTCTCTCACCGTCTCATTGCCCCCAAATTGTACCATGACAGCAGAGCAACTGAACTCATTCCTGAGCGCTCCTAGGTGCTTCTCCAAAGGACAGGGGAAAGGTCACGTTTTCTAATGACCCGTCCAAGAATTAATCACTTGAGGTTATATTTCCGGTGTAGCAGGCAGCTTCCATAAAGATACAGACTTGAATGATCGTATGCAGTCAAGCAATACTCCCTGTTTAGAGAAGGAGGCAGGAAGCCAATGTATTCAAACACATCTTGGACCACATTCCAATGGAGTTCAAAGCCACAGATGCTATTGTAACCATCCCTGTTTCAGAAGACACGTGGCAGTGGCCCTATCTCTACCGCAGCCTACAATACCCCGTTTTCACCCAAACAAGCCAGTCTCTGTAATTGTCAGGGCTGAATGGGACCTCCATATTCCAAGGCAGTGTGTCATTTGCTGGGAGGCAGCAGCAGTGGGAGGCTTTGGCCTGTGCCCCTGCCTGTGGGCTATCCGGTAGGCTGCTCTGAGAAACAGGATGGTGGATTAGCTGAAAATTCTTCTGATCCAACAAGGCTCCTCTTCTGCTATCCTGAAGATTAGCTAGTATAAAAATATATTATTTCTATCACTTGATAACAGGACATGCATGCCAGTTCACACAATACTTGGGAGATTTGGAGAAATTCATAAGTACAATGCATACCGTGAATAAGTCTACCTGAGAAACTGTAATAGTTTATGTAACTGGGATTAATTAGATAGAAAGCCTCAGATACAGCATATATTCATCTGACAAAGGGAGCTTTGACTCTTGGAAGTTTAGACCCTGAAAATCTTGCTAGTCTCTAAGGTGCTACTGGGCTAAAATCTAGCATATATTTAGACCCTCAGTGTGGATTGGTGTACACTTGTGTCTGGGCTTGACCTATCAGGCAGCAAAGTGGCCCTGGCAAAAGTGGCTAATGTGATATGTCATTTATTTTTCCTCCCTTCCCCTTCCTCGCTTGCAGGTGTACAGTTTACACCTGTGCAAATAATGTAAAGCAACAGACAGGGTCTTGCAAAGTGCTCTTTTTCCTTTTTTTAAAAAAGTACACCTGGTGTAGTTCTAAAGTAACCTTGGGATGTATTAAATATTATTATTCAATGTATTATTCTTGTATTTGTTTCAAGAACCACTATATTAGATGTGCCCAGAATCTGTTACCATTTCTATGTTTCCTTCCAACTATAAATAACATCATTAATTTCAAAAATGCTATTGAGGGCTATTGTGCTTAACCCCCTTAACCATTCCTCTCCTGCTAAAGATTTCCTTCTGCCTCTTTATCTCTTCCCCATATGAGCTCTGAAGTTGGAAGTGAGCAATTATTTATACAGGGGAATCAGTGAATACAAGAAAAGTTAAGCATCTGTCTTTCTCATCCACTGATCTTCCTTTATAACTGCCTCTCTCTCCTGTTATTTCTAAATAATTTCTAGTTCCATCTTGAAACATGGCCTTGCATTTCATGGCAGTTTCGTGTCCCTATCTGACTCTTCTCATATAAATCACCCATCTCCTCCTTCATAGCACCATGTCCCTTACTTTACAAAGGCCAGGTTGATAGGTATTTCTCCTTAGCCAAAGCAGGAACTCAGATTGTCTAATTCATGAGTCTGCTCCTTCCCACGAAGCATATGAATGCTTTCAAAAGTTAAGGAAATAGTTCAAAGCTTTCTTAAGATAAGGAACAAAACCAGGTTCAGGCTGAATCAGGCAACAGGACAGGTTCAGGGCTAGTTGGAAAAGGTTTTATTGATAAATTACACTGAGATCTATACATACAGGAACAATCCTCCATTTCCCCCATCTAGCTGAATAGCTGTCTATACATCCAGAATGTGTATCTGCCCCACTGGTTCATCACAGGTGACTGTGCAAACAGGACCAATCTCAGTATTACTAAGGCCTCATTCACTGGACCAGATACTGGAAACCAGATACAGCAGGATGTTTGACAAGGTATCCTGGCCTTGTGCCCAGCATGGTACTTTTTGTGGGGGATGCTTTGGTCTCAGGCTCCCTAGAAAAGCTCCTTGATGCCCAATTGGCAAGATCTATGCTCAGTCCCTGAAGGGACTAAACACGCAATCCCTCATACAGGTTTATAAGCCCAGTGCACACGGCTCCAGCTGGGTTGGAGCTGAGGAGAAGAGGAGAAAGGCATGAGTTTCAATACCAACCTAGAAATGGGAGATAAAGGAAAGAGAGTCAATCCTTGGGGGGGGTCTGGGTGGTAAAAAAATGGTGCAATGAGTCACGAGAGGCAAACCATGGGAAGAATCCACCCTCAAGACTGGCCACCTGTGCTGTTTGCTACCCCTTGTCTGTGCCCTGCAGCAAGTGAATAGGTGCGATTCTCTAAGGGCCACCATAAAACCTTCCAGCCACAGTTCAGAGAACACCGTCTGCTTTCCCAGGCACAAGAGCAGCCTCATGCTCATGGGCTGCAGCTTAGCCCCTGGGCCACAGAGTGGGCCCTGTGCCAGCCACCTCCAACTCAGTTCCTTGGTGCAGGTGGCTGATTGATGATTACTTGAATGACAAAGTCCTTCTGGATTTTGGTTTCCTGAAGGCGGGTCCGGTCTGTCAGGAGCTTGCCAGAAAAAAACCAGCGCTGCCAGGCAGGCTCCAGCCCCTCCTGGGCAAAGAGCTGCTTTTTGAGCTGCCCAATAGTGTCAGTCATGCTGGCGCTCAGGCGCAGGTCCTTGCCGGTGGAGAGGCGCACTTTGAGAGGGAATTCACGCCGGGTGTGGGGTGCTGGCTCAGGGGGCTCCACGCCCTCCTCCTCGCTCCTCTCCATAATCAGGTTGACAGGCGGGGCAAGGCAATACACGGGGAGCTGGTACCGGTTCCCCAGTTCATCATAGCACTCAGTAAGGGAGCCTGCAGGAGAATGAAGAAACCAGTAGAGGGCATGAGAGGCATGGGATAAAAGTATGCCTTTCCACAGGCCTATTTAAGATGCTCCTAAATTCTATACAGAAATCTCCAAAGCCTATGAAATAGAAGCTTTCAATTTTTTTCCCTTCAAATCTTGATCTCTTTCGTGATGCCCTCACATCTGATCATGTCCTCCTATATCCTAAATTCCTCCCAGTTCTCCCTCGCTCTCTCTGATATTCCCCAATCTTATCATGCAGTTTCAGACCACTTCCTGTTCCCAGCCTTTGGCTGCACCCTCCCTGTTCTCTTTGAACCATCTGAGCCTAATCTCTTCTAATGAATGTATATAAGACTGTCCAATCTCCAGTTCCAATTGTCTCCTCTTAGCAATGAGGTGAGTGAAAACGTGTCTAGACTAGTTTTCTAAGACCAGAGAAGAAAGCTCTCCACACCTATGAAATGCCACCCTCATGTTCCTGGGAACTCCCCAAAGTCATCGTATCCTACAGTTGAAGTCAGAAGGGCAATGGAAAGAGGTGGCACAATCTTGTCCAACAACCATGTTTGGAAGTTCTACTCAACCCGTGCTTGGAGGGTTGACCAGCAGGGATGGGACAAAGCTCACCATTCTCAGTTTTCCTCTTGAAAATGACAAGATATGAGCCTATGTCTGTCTGCCAAGTTCCCACTGGACTGTGGTCTTTGTTCCAAGAAAAAAAAAAGTGTACAGAGCCCAATGAAAGGTCTGAATATTTCCGGATGTAGACTTAAGCCCTGGGGGGGGGGGGAGAAGCATGGCTTCATAATCTTTTGCAAACATGCATTTGTTGCACACACACATTGCACTTTTTGTAGGTGTATTGTCTGGTAACAGTAGCAGAGGAGAACAGTGTTGCCATTAGAAATCCACAATATAAGACATTGTTTCTGCCTGGCAGAAAGACTCATCCCTGTTTCACCCAACGTACCATGGGGCAACGTAACACCAGCACCATCGATGATGGCCTGTGCTAGTCCATGGTCATTCGCCTCCACAGCATAGGCGGCAGCTTTGAGTGCATCCCAGATCTCCTTGCGGCCCTCGAACGCTGGAGCTGTATCCCAGAACTCATCCCGCTTGCTTCGCAATTGCCCATCCGTCATAGGGTAATCACTCTTCCACTTGGGGCGCTCCTTCTTTAGAGGTTCATTGCGACCTGCAATGGTAGAGACAGACTTCAAATGATGCCTCAAAGACAGAACCCCTTCCCCTGCTGGATCCAGCTTCTTTTGCGTTTACAGGGGCTACTGTCCCATCTCTTCACAGACAAGCTCTGGTACTTCCTCTCCCCCTGTGACGAGCTGCACATGGCCAATAACCACAGCTTTCTCCCACCCCCTGCTCAGAGTCTTAAGAGAGTTTTCCATCCTGGACAGTATTTATAGCTCACAGAATTAGCCAGGGAATAAGCCACGGGGCTGCAGCCTGGTGGGTGGCAATAATTTGCAAAGCTGGGGGAGGCTGAACTCCTGGGAGGCAAAGACACTAGGAGAGGCGGAAGCATAAAGACTGAAGTCAGTTCAACTGGGCTATCTTCCTCATCATGCCACTGATTCCTGGGTAGCTCTTTCACTCCTACTTCTTTGCCAAAGGCAGGATTCTCTAGATCAAAAACAGTCTCTGACAGACACTTACTGAACCCTTCTTTGTAAACATCTCATAAAAAGAAGTTCTGTATCATTTTAAATCAACTGATTCCATTGTCTGATCTTCTAAAGTTTAGAGGTATCTGGTCCCTATACCTAAGAAATCAACTCTTTACCATTTTCATAACAATGATACTAACATTTCTCACTATGACCCTCATCAGTCTCCTGCTCTGAAGATGCTGATTTCCTTCCTCCTTTCCTCAGTAAAAATGTTGCATTCTCAGTCTTATCTTTATTTCTATCATCTACATCTTTCCTGGTTTGTCTATGAAATTATATGTCATTCAAGAACTGTGCACCACAGGCTAGCTCAGGAAAAACCAATACAAATCTAAAAGCTACACAAAAGACTGAAAAACTCTCTCAAGGACAGAGTAACTTCCCCTTAATGAAGCAACAGAGAGTGTGGATCATAATTACTCAAGATGCATAACTGGGCGGAAAAATAAGCACACCACGAGGAAAGACTGAACATTTACTAAACTCCCAATAAACTGAAACCTGTACTCAGAACATAAAAAGAACAAAATGTTAACAAGATACATGCCCCCCACAATAACAACAAAAAAGAAAAATAATGTACAGATCTATTAAGTAGAATGCAGCATTGCACAGGAGGGTCTGGGAGATACAGAATAGCAAACCAAACATGAACCAACTTCTCTGATGCTGTTGTACAAAAAGTGAATCCCATTTTAGATAAAACAAGCTGGGGGCCTACAAAAAATTGCTGAGGGGAGGAGAAAATTTTGAACTCTCCCTCCAAGATTCTGTGAGCTCCCAGGGACATGAACTGGCTGACAGATTTCTCCTCCCCCACTTTCCCCCTTGAAGTGTGACACTCCACTCTCTCAGAATGTGCCAGAACACATTCAGTTCTTATCAATCTGGTTTTTGAGATCCCCCCCCCATTTTCTTTTAGTTAATTGGTAATGTAATGACCTCATATTTTTCTGAACATCTGAGGAGCCCCTCAAGTATGTAGAAACATTGACATTTGTTTGTGGCTGGCCTGGTTTGCTGTTTTCAAGACTGGCACGAGGGCCAGAAACATTATTCTTAGATCTAGTCATTAACACATACATCTGAGACTCGGGATGTAACTGTCACTGAGAACACTAATACAGGGGTTGCCACCTGCCACCACATATAATGATGTGGCAAACAGAGCCAAAATTATGAGCATAATTACTGGGGTATGTCTGAAACAGTTAGGAATGTTATGAGTTCCAAAACAAGAAGTGAACATATAGTAAAAAGGTCATTTCAAAATGTCAGGCACCTTGTAATGGCAATCAGTTGGGTGTTGGCGGAGGTGTCATGGGGACGGTGCCCCGGGAGCTCCACCCTCTATACACACAAGGAAGAGCCTGTCTTCGGCAGCTCAATTTTCCCCTCCCGCGTATTGAGACTAGCTCCATAAAGCCTCCAAACTAGTCATGGTTTGGTATTTTTCATTACTGTTTTATTTTCAGATTTCAAATTTATCTTCAGATCCCACTTTTTGACCAAAGTGGTTCATTAACATTCATAAAGTAGTGATGTAGTGGATTGGATTGGATGTAGTGGGTTGGATTAGGATCTGGGGAACTTGGGTTCAAATCCCCACTTGGCCATGGAAGCTCACTGAGTGACCTTGAACTGTTCCTTCTTTCTCAGCCTAAACTGCCTCACTGGGATGTTGTTGTAAGGAGAAAATGGAGGAGGGGAGCATGATGTTGGAAGGCACTTTGGGTCTCCATTGGGGAGAAAACCAGGGTATAAATGTCTAAATAAAGCATAATTCCACTCTAAAGCCTAACAATGTAAAAACTCAAGCCAGAAAACAGACAGGCCCATGAGATGGGGGGAGGGGGGAATCAGGTTGAAAACCAGCATTTTAAAATGCTGAACTCTACCAAACAGAAACAAAATACCCCTGGCCACTCTAGTGGAGGAGAGATCTGAGCAGCTGATCCAGGGACAACCGTGTGATGGCGTTTCCTTAGCCAGCCTGCTTCCATCCCTCCCCTTGTTCTCTCTTGCAGAGCAGTTGATGCTCATGGCTACCGTGGTGGGGGAGGGATCAGTCCTGCTGATTAAGGGGCAGGCATGTGATCTGGTGTCTGCTCTGGTCTCCCCTCTCCCACAAAGGCAGCTGTTCTTACACAGCTGCTGTGATTGTTCAGAGGACTCCAGGCCAAGAAGAGCTGGTTTTCAAACAAGGAGCCTTGCGATTCAATGAGGTGGTGATCAGTGTTCCCTCTAAGCTGAGTTAGTGTGAGCTAGCTCACAGGTTTTTAGCCCCCAGCTCACAGGTTTTTGTCTTAGCCCAGGAAGGAGGGCTCCAGAGCAAACTAATTTATGCAGTATCCAAATTGCTTGCTCACAGCTTTAATGCCAGTAGCTCACAAAGTAGAACTTTTGCTCACAAGACTCCAGCTTAGAGGGAGTATTGGTGGTGATCCCAGAATATTCTGCATGATGATCTAAGGGACCATCTGGGACAAAGGCTGCCTATCGGCATTTCAAAATCTCTTCTTAAGACTCTGAATACACATTTGTGACAAGTGATCCCAGGAATTAAATGCACAGGCACAGTGTACCTTACCACTCCTGGAAGTGGTTGCCCATACAGATCACTCAGATGATATGCCCATAGCTGACCCTTGGGAGCAGCGGGAAAGAGATACCGGAAATCAGACAAGCTCAGGCTGAGCACAGCATTTGGGGGTGTTCAGCATCAGACCTCAATCCTAGTTCACACGGAGCCCTCAGAATACCCCCTGCTTGCCCAGAACCTCTCGGCATCTTCAGCCTCCTAGCCATGTTATGTGGAGAATAGCCAAGTGTGGCCTGGAAAGAGGGGCAGGAGGGGACGGCACGCGCAGGAAGAAGTTATTTTGATCTGACCCACCCCCATCTCCACTAGCTGCAGTCAGTGGAAATACTGCCAGGATGTAAGCAATTAACGAACCATAATCTCTAGTGTACTGGAGATGGCAGGAAGACATTGATTGGCTGCAGCTTACTGAGAATGGTAGGAGACACCAAGTGCCCTGCCCCGTATGTAAGGAAACAGAGCCAGCAGCTATACAGGCTCAAAGCTTTCTTACAAATTTCAACCCTGGGCTCCAGAGCATGCAAGAAAAATCACACAGTGGTGGTGGTGGGGAACTGACTGCACTCTGGCCACATGATGGAGAATCCTCAGCCTGATGCCAAGAATCAGGGAGCAGCATGGAGTACCATGACCCTCTTAGGGCTCCCTCATTCCCAATGGTGCTCCAAGCAAACACTACTTAAATGTTCACAGGATCACCAAGCTGTGTGGAGTCAGGGGGAGCAGCCAGGTTATGACATTCCTCCACTTCCACTGTGTTAGATTCATCAGGACAGAGCCTGTTCCAGGTTTAGGGGGCCATGGACAGAATGTCAAGGGGCCCCTTCCCTGCTACTGCACACCGCGCTCATGCCCCCTTCCCATTCACCCACATGGCTTTCCCCCACCACCTGCCCATGCATTCTTCCCCCACTCACAAGTCCTCACACAGTCTGCATTTCCAACCACATATGATCCTCTCACAACAGCGCTGGGCACTGCACATGGCTAGGCGCATGGGTGATGTATGGGCAAGCAAGGGCAGAGGTGGTGGCACTGCGGTCCACCAGAAGCCCTGAGCACTGGCAGCTGCCCCCACCTCACGGCATTTTTTGTTTATTTACTTATTTATACCCCACCTTTCTCCCAGTACAGACCAAAAGTGGCCTACATTGTTCTCTTCTCCTCCACTTTATCCTCACAACAGCCCTATGGGGTAGGTTAGGCTGAGAGAGAGAATGACTGGTCCAAGATCACCCAGTAAGCTTCCATGGCCAAGTCAGAATTTGAACCTGGGACTCCCAGATCCTAGTCTAACTCTCTAACCACTACACACAAACTGGATCTCAGGCTGACCCCACCCCGTATCACAGTTTTTTTAAATTGTGGTGAGCATTCCCACCAACACAATGTGATTTCCTTCTTGATTTGTACATATCCTCACAATTGGAGACTGCAGAGGACTGGTAAGAGACACTGGTGTGGCAGAGCTCAGGTATAAGATGGCCAGTGAGAAGGCAGCAACTCCTGCAAGGAGCCCCCTTAACCAAAGGCAGATACTGAATCCTAGTTCAGCCTAAACAGAGTTCTTTTTTGTAGGAACTGACAATGTCCTGAACTCATCCATATTCTACTACAGTCCAGCAGAAAGGTATCAGTGTCATTGATAGAGATGTGGAGGCATACTGCTTCATTAAGCCTATACATTTGAAATGCAGTAAGCATGTGCTCACATTTTAGTATAGGACTGCTGCTTGGATGCATCATTAATCCCTGTTGACTCCTGCCCATCAAAAAACCACAAATCCCAATCATCACTAGGTTACCAGGAAGTGTATTTTATTGTGGGGTCACCAAATCCCGGAGAAGAGATCGCAAACACTAATTGTTTCAGAAAAATCAATACAATTCTCCTGTCTAGATACA